AGGTGTACACGCCACGTACAGCAGCGCAGCAGCAACGTCGACGAGCGAGCGAGCTTTTGCTACTATCCAACTTGATGATGTTACACGCACACGAGCTTTTATAAGAAAAATCGATTTTACTTTTCTTTTAAAATTATCAGGTTAATGAACTATAGCTCTTCTTCTTCTTCTTTTTTTATCATAAAAGCTCTCCTAGTCTGTTGAAACTCCCGCTTCCCTCACCCCTACGCCGCCGTCCTTTATCGATATGCCCCGTATTAATATACACATAGCATGGACCTTTACACTTTGCGCGACTTTTAAAACTCGTGCGACGTTCGTATATATATATAAACGTGTATATACGTGCATTAAAGGTCACTCCGCGCGCGGCCGATGCTATTACCGCTAGGCTACTACTACGTCAGTGAAAGAGTCACGAGGAGGAAGAAGAAGAAAAAAAAAGGCTACAGTGCACCGAACTAATTGTTATAATACCCAGGCGCTATATGTGTATTAAAGTATACGGTATATATAGAGCTTAGCAGGATGTGTGTAAAAAAAGAAAATATACTTCGTATGTACAGCTGCAACACGTGCACATATTATTATATTGTATATACTATTAACGCTGTTGGTGCGCCACGAGGCGCGAGCTCGAAATATATACAACGCTATAATAATTATGCTATTTTTATGATGGCCAATTGTTTTATCGATCAATTGACCTTAAAAATAAGTCTCGACGCTGCCTTTAAGTACGTGTTTGTGTGCATTGTATGCTGTTCTCGTGCAAGGAAAAAAAAATAAGAAGAAGAAGAAGAAATAGGAAAATAGTAATTCGCTCGTGTTTTATATATCGACGGGCTCTACGGGTGAATTAGTCAATTGATTATTGCTAATGTGCACGCTTGATTTAAAGCGTCACGATACAGAGAGAAGTAGATAGATACACGAGGTATTTCAATGTGGGCGCGATATTGCCAGCAATATATACATGATTCGTTTCGAAGCGCTGCGCAAAGCATTAATATTACAGCATTGATTGTATACACTACGTAAATTTAAGCTTAGGATCAAGCGCGGGGGGGCTCTGCGCCGAGAAAAATGTCAATTTACGGATGGGTATATCCGTGAAAATAAAGGATTAAAAAAGATCATCTGCCCCGCTAGCTCGGTGTTTGTTTACTTTGAAAGATAAACAGAACGTTAAAAAAAATCAAAGCAGCGATTCTCGACTTTTATATTTTCTCGATGCAGCACGACGCAGCGGCAGCAGCGCCCACGAAATTAGATATACGAATCAATGTATCCAGGTCAGTATTCTTTTTTCTTTTTTTTTTTTTACTTTATTTCTTGCTTTCCTCGTTCCCCGCCCATCAATAATATTTAGTCTCCGCGTCGCGCGCGGGCGCGAGATTACAAAAATATATATTTCAGCAGCCTAGACCATTGCCAATTAAATATTGACGGATCTCGCGGACAAACGATATCGGAGCATTACCATAAGTTATTTTCAGTCCATCGGCGGGAAAATATTCATCCGTATAACATTATTTTCCCGCGTACATAAATCGAGAAAATCACGCGTATATATTGTCCCGTAGGAGAAATGAAAATGTATGCGAATGCTGATTTTATATACCTTTGGCGTTAAGTATATTTATCGCTGCGAACGAAGATAACGCGCTGTGTGCGTGCGTATCGAGCGACGTTGCCTCGTGTAGCCGCGCGGGGGTGTACCTATATAGGATATTGTATAGAGTTGCCACCGTTACGTATACACGATATGTATTTCTGACCACGGCTTTGATTTGATTTTGCTTCCTCGATAATGACGTAAATTCGCAATTACGTTTCTATGCTAAGGTTAATGTTAAAACCCTTGACTTTCGCTCGTACATATAACGCAAAAACGCGATCTGCGGATTAGGATTCGACTCGTGAACACGACACCTAAATGGTCATTCGAGCAACAATGACAACAACAAAAAAAAAACGGAGACGATGTCGCATGCGGTACAATCTCTGCATCATATGCATACGCATCGGTAATTGTCGTCTTGCGCGCGTCTTTGCGCGCCTATACATACGTTCGGCCACTTCTCTCTCGTTACGAAACCCGATGCAACTGTACGAGTATAGAGAGAGAAAGATTCGCTCGCGACCAATCGCGATTGCGTTGACGCGTTTACGTTTCGTTAACGCGCTCGCCTGCCTATATTTATAATGAAAAATCAATGCGCGCGCGATATGCGGGGAATTTTAGGTCAGTAATCATTAGGTCGTGCGCGCGCGCGCGGGCTTCATTAAGAGATCATTCGGCCAAAAGCCTCTGTCGTAATATTTCGACGCCGTAAAATATAATACGTTCGCGATCGCGAGAACTCGTGCTATGATAATTAAAGAAAAAATTCAATTTAAAAATCAAAGTTTATTTTTAAAAAGACCGTCCAGACTGTCCATCGGTATAATAGATCGTTGCATTTGCCATTATTATGAAGCAGCTGCTGTCAGCATAATGTTCGAGCTATTTATAAATAATTCATTCGTAGCGTCGTCGTTGCGGCGCTATTAATAAATATAAAAAACTTTATCGCGCGCCGTAATGTATAATGATGATGATGATATTTTATATGCTTTTCGTTAATAATTAATTAATGCCCATCGTAAAATCTCGACTAGTTAGGCGCAGGTTCCATCTAGCACATGATTTCAATTGCGCGCGCGCGATTACGATTTCAAAACAATATGAACCGTTTTTTTTTCTCGTCTACTACGCGCGCACTCGAACAGTCAAATTGTTATCCGTTGGCTATGCATGCGGCAACAAAAAAAAAACGGGCATGCGGGCATTTTTTCGCTCGTTTGTGTCATTATAAAGTCGCACGATTTTTTTAAAAATTTTTTTTACGAGGCTGACTTTTTTCCTTCTCTCTCTCTCTCTCTCTTTCCTCTCTCTTTATTATAAACGCTCGAGGAAGGATAAAAAAAGAATTGTTGTTCTTTATTTTGAATTTATGCGGTGAACGTGTGCGCTAATCTTTTTAGTCACGCCAATAAATTTGTGACTTCTGCTAAAGCGTTCGTATATATATATCGGAAGAAAAAAAAAGAACCGAGTCTCGGGTATGTATACTCTACTTAACAATGTTAAAAATTTTTGAATAAAAATAACTGCATCGTTAAATGTATTTTCGTTCGTATAATCGTACGATATACGTGTTTACGAATTATCGTCGCGAGCTCGTCCGCGTTGAACAATGTGAGAGAAATTACATTTTTCACATAATCGGAATTTTTTCATAACGTATCAGTTCGAGCTATCTTTCGTTTGTTTACAAAGGATGATGAACGTCAATTTAGAAAAAAGAAGCTGACACAAAGAAATGCAATTCTGTACACAAGATGACAAGATGAAAGTATGGATCGAAAATACGTTCGTAGTAGATTCTTCGCTAGGACTCGAAATTGTCCGCAGAATATCGCTTTGTTTGTTGAACAAAATAATTGAGTCGCGTTAACATTATTTATTTCATTCACACGACAGATAATGATCGCACTATATGTGTGTCCGCAACGAGACAATTGAAAAAAAAAAGTACTTCGGATTTTTAAGAGTGCTTTTAAGTTCACTTAAATCAGAAGCTCGTAAAACCTCAGAGCGAATTGGTCGTAAAATGTCTTATTTCTTGACAGACTCATTACTCACGTTGAATCATCATTAGAAAAAAAAAGGAAAAAAGAGCTGCGAGCATTCTCCGCGACACAGCGCGATGTTTAGTCGTGTTTCTACTTGTGAAATTTAACAGTTGAGAATAATTAAATTTGTTACCAAGAGTACACACAGAGAGCGATGTATTTAGCGTCGTAAAACAAGAATAATTAGATGAATTATTATTATCACTATATGCATTATTTTCATCCGGAGAAAATAAAAATGCACGGCTCAACGCTATCACTTTCGCCCTTTGAGAATCGACGCACAGTGGCACACTCATAAATGGGAAAAACTTCACGCGTTAAGTTCAACAGGGCATACGCACTCGCATCGGAATAAAAATGAAAATGTAAAACGCGTTTTCTATCCTCGCTTTCGAGAAAACTAAATTTTTTTATTCCATGAAAGTCTAGTAGTACGGGAATAGAAATAAAACAAAAAAAAAAACGGTCCAAAAACTTTAAAGGTATAAGTTTACCGTTGGGTGGAAAAAAAATATTCAGTCGGAGTAATATTGAAAGAGGAGAAAATAAAAAAAAATTTTTTTCGCTCTTGTAACTGCAGCCGCAGCACAGCAGCGTAGCACGCGCGATCCTTACATCGACGAGCAGAAGCAGCAGCAGCAGCAGCAGTGTTGAGCAGTGTGGCACACAGGGAAAAATCCAAAGGCAAAATATGACGCACGGCGCGTGTAATTGATGAAAGTGTGTGTGTGCGCGCAACGAGCAGAGTATTATATAGTGCATGAGAGTAGCGATGGTACTCAACGGTAAAGAAAAACAATCCAGTCGAAAAATTGCCCAACTTTTCGTTGATTTATAGTGCCGAGGAAAAGTACCCATACACACATCGTTTGGCATGTTTCTCTCCCCCTTTTTTTTATTTTTTTTTATTTTTACGCAGTCAAACCTCGACTAGAGAGAGAGAGAGCATTATGCTTGCCCCCGAGTGAAAAAGCACGATAACACGCGCGCGCGCGCGCGCGCTAAGTTTTTCCAGTGGAGCTTTCAAATGAAAAATAGCTCTCAATGCAGCCGGGCGCGTGTTTTTTAGATACAGCTTTCTCTCTTTTCGAGCTTATAGCCTAGCTAGTATAGTATAATATAGCGTAAAAGAGGCGAAATTCGTCGGTGTGTAGTCGACAGATAAATCTGTCAACGTGCATAAGCGCGAAAATATATAAACAGCATTTCCCAGAATGAAAATGTTACTTTCTCGTGTATCACTCTCGCCGTAAGTCTTTCGATCGCGCATTATTAGATCAACGCAGAATAAAAATTTTGCATGAACAATAACTCACCAGTATGCCCGATGTTCATCGAGGCAAAACTCGCGCGGCGCACAGATCGTCGATCGGACTCGTCGCGCGGCGATATATTAATTATACGCGCGAGCGAGCTTGACACCCGAGAGAAAAGCTCCGTCGTTCTCTCTTTCCGAGGCGGTCAAGTCATCGCGGGGGCAGCCGTCACCGGTTGTATCGCGTTACCAAAATCTATAACGAAATATCTGTTGCACTCACTCACTCGCTCACTCACCCACGCACTCACTCGCGCAAGCACCAGATAACACAGCGGAGATCGAGAGAGAGAGCGATGATCCGCACTCACGCACTCGCGTTTGGCGACGAAGCCACAAGTGTGTGTACGATGTAGTATATATGTTGTAGCTGCACACACACACACTGCGGATGATTAATAGCGGGGACGGGGTTCAAAATCCCCGAGCACGTTGCACGTATACGAATTCGGAATTGGCGCGCTCTCACTCGCGATTTTCACAAATTCATTTCTCATCGGAGCTTGCTAACTGTTGCAGTATTTTATTTGTTTATTTATTTACTTTTTGTATATACTACATAATGCTCATATGCGTAATATGCACCATCCAACTTTTTTTCCTTTCGCACGGGAGATACCACGGGGACTAAAAGAAGAGTAGGAGCAATAGCAGAAGGAGGAAGTACAATAGATCGTCCCGGCTCACGATCGTCGTCGTCGTCGTCGCGTCGATCGACCGACTGCTCTATAGCCGGCGATGTCTCGCGTCGCGTCAACCAGTCGGACGCGCGACGTCAAGCGCACTAAACGAGAAATCCGGGCGTTTGTGCCGCGGAGGCCGGACGATCCAAGGCGCGCGCGTCAGATGTGCATAGTATACGCTGTGCTGCACGTACGTACGTACGTCGACGACGACGACGACGGTGGGCCTGCGCGGCAACGCGAGCGCGGCGCGCGGTTAGAGCTTGACGGTGGCAGGCGGCGCGGCGCGCATAGCGTACATACATACGTACAAATACACACGTACTACGGATCGTGTGCAGTGGTATATATACATGCACAACGCGCGATGCAGCTCCGAGAGTGAGAGAAAGAGAGAGAGACAGACAGACAGACGTACGTATATAGAGGTATATATATATATGTACTGCATTATGCTCTGCATGTGTATTGGAGGCAGAGCTTCGAGGCGGTGCATCGGTGTGCGTAATTATCTTGCATGTATATTACACTGCATACCGCTCTATGTGTGTGGGCATATATATACCTGTACAAAAGAGAGACACACACACTGCGATCTATAGATAGAAAGAGAGAGAGAGAGGATGCGAGCCCAGCTTGTGCAGTACGCCTGCACCGCAACCCCGCTAGCACCACCCACGCGGTGCGATGTGTAGTATGTACACTACGTACCTACCTACCTACAGCCCCCGCGTGTGTGTACTTCTGCTGTACATACTACAAGCTTCGAGCGAAAGAGAGAGACCGAGCAACCTGTCGAATTTTCAGAGCGCGCGTTATTAACATGGCTGTGGCAATTATTGCGCACGTGCGTACACCTATATGTGTCCGCGGTCGTTTCATTTCTATTTTGTTTCATTTTAGTTTCTTTTATTTTTTTAAGCTCTGAATGAACTGGACTTTGGATTTTGATCTAGTTTGTGTCAGAAGGTCGGTATATATCTGTAGGCGTGCGTAAATTCTAAGCCCACGCGGTTGACGGCCGAGCACGCGGTATTTCATTCGGTCATATATATAAGTTTTTATTGTGCTGTATCGATAAGATGTGAAAACGGATGCAGTTGCCGAGCCAACGATTTTGGTCATACACGCATAATATGTATTACTCTGTGAAACTGAGTGATCCGGCCATTCATTTCAGCCGGCATGAAAAACTTGTTCTATTATGATGGTTTATGTGACTCCAAATTACATTAAAATTTTTGAAATCTCTTACTAACCTTTTTTAAAGGCCCCGAGTTGAAATTTTTTCGAAATTTAGAAAAAATGGAAATGATATAAACTTATAAAAAAAATATTTTAAAAATGTCTTAGGGCTTCGGCAGCTTGCTTATATGAATAGAAATATAAAAGTTAAAAATTAATTGAGTGGGATCCGGCTGTCTTTCGTAACTAAAAGACTTACAGAACTTCTATGTAAAGTTATCCAGCATTTATTCGATTTTTTTTCTAGGAAAATCAGTAATCTAATTTTTTCTATTATTATAGGATGATTTAATGCTGAACTGTTTACATTCGTTCACTCAAATTTTCAAGTCAATGTTATTGAATGAAATTCAAATTAGTTCGCTCGACATCGTAACAGACACAGTAGTCGTCAACGAAATTCTGAGCGATTAAGAACATGGATCCCAGTAGTACATTTGATTCTGCTATCAGGTAATTTTCAATTTTAAAATAAAAGATCCCTCGAAATACCTAATTCGATCGAATTTTATACTTTAGAATAAAAAAGGAACCCATCGATACATCGCTCATTGAATATGATGACAATGTGATTGACAAGCCTCCCGATGTTGAAAATTTTCATTTCTCAAGACTTCAGCGAGGATATTCGGTAAGATGTATGATATGGTAAAAATTTTTTATAAAATATATTTTTTTTATAAAATTTTTTATAACGTAACTTCATGTTCGTTGCAGACGCTTCAAGAATGTAACGAAAATCATAATAATGGACTTGACGAAATCAAAGTTGAAATCGAATGTAGGGACGTGAAGCCCGAATTTAATTTATTAGCAGTTACCAAAATTGAGGATTGTACTCAACATCGATTGCAGCACATGATATATAGCGACGACAACACCAGTCAAAACATCATAAAAATAGAAACTGTGAGTAAAATAAAAGAAGAAATCAATTCGAATTTCGAAATTGAACTCGACGAGAGAAACAAAAAGAGCAAAAAGCTCAACAACATCGATAGAGTCAAAACCAACATTGGTATGATGCATAGTGGGGCAGTCCATATATGCAAAACATGCGGAAAGACGTTTAAAAACAAGTTCAATCTGGATAGGCACGTTAAATCAATTCATGATGGTGTTACATATGCATGCAACACGTGTGGAAAGTCATTCACTCGAAAAATTTATCTCAAAACTCACATAGATTCGGTGCATAACGGTGTCACTCATGAATGCGATATTTGTGGAAAGATATTTTCACAAAAAAGTTATCTCAAAATCCACATCGATTCGGTGCACAACGGTGTCACTCCTGAATGTGAAATTTGCGGAAAGAAATTCTCATGTAAGAGTTATCTTAAAGTCCACATCGATATGATGCACAATGGTGTCGCACCTACTTGTGATACATGCAGAAAGAAATTTTCAACGAAAAGCAATCTCAAACAACATATCGATTCGGCGCACTACTGTGTCACTCATGAATGTGATATTTGTGGAAAGAAATTCACACAGAAGGGTTATCTCAAAATCCACATCGATTCGGCGCACAACGGTGTCACTCACGAATGTGATATTTGTGGAAAGATATTTTCACATAAAGGTAATCTCAAACATCACATAAATGCGGTGCATAATGGAATCATACACGCATGCGACAGATGTGATAAGACTTTTAAACGTAAGGATAAGCTGAAGATCCACATCGATTCGGTTCATCAATGTTCGACTCACACTTGTGGAGTATGCGGAAAAAATTTCGGACGAAAAAAAAATCTCATTGCCCACAAGGATATGGCACATCGTTCTCGTGCAACTACCCAATAAATATGTAAAATGTATATTTAATTGTGTAAAAAATGACAATTTGATATTTTGTATATTGATTCAGATTTCTAAAAGTTTAACAATTTTCATTTATTACAAATGAGAATACGAATATGAATTTTTGCTATCTTATGTTATCTCAATACTCAAAAACAACGCCCAATTTTTGAAAAAAAATTAATAAATTTTTTAATCTAAATATTATAGAAAACAGGCATTTTCAGCGAGCTGCGCGCACATAAAGTTTACCCCGTATCCGGTCACGTTAACAAAAATCTAAAAACTCGCGCTTTATGTGCATGTGACATCATCATACGTGTCATCTATCCAAATCCAAAGATTGATTAAAGCGCATTTATTTCGTTAAACCTTCATTATTTTTAAAAATAAAAATAACAAAAATATAAATATAATATAGAGAAAAATAGAGATAGGAGTGTGAGTTCCGAGGTATATTTTTCTTTTTTGTGGATGTTTCTCCTCATATATCTCACAACGCGTGAACGAATTATGCGCCTGAATGAATGATACTTTTGTTGCAATTTTGCCGTAGTTCAGCCATTCCTATATAGAGATACTTACCCGCAGTCAAAAGCATAAGAGGATCAACATATCAACAGATGAGCTAACACCTTCCCAGGATCTTTTCGCCAATTGTGAAAAAAGATAAGAATCAGACTAATTACGTGAATGATAGAATTATAGTCATTTTGATAAAAAAAGGATTCGATTATGATAATAAATGTAAATTTCAAGAAAAATTTCATTTGAATTTTAAACAATCCAAGACGGTGCAAATATTTCATAAAAGAATTCAAACCAAATTGTCTTATAAATATAATTTGTGTCATAAAACTTATGAAAAAGGAACGAGTCTAGTAACATATATCAACGGAACATGCAACAGCATCAGACAACACGAATGTGGAATTTGTCACAAATTATATTCGTCGATAGGTCACCTCAAAACTCATATAAATACAGTACATAATTGGAGAAAACCATTTGAATTTTGGATTTGTCACAAATCATTCAAGCAAAAAGGTAATCTTAAAACTCACATAAATTCAGTTCATGATCACAGCAGGACCTTCGACTGTGAGCTTTGTCACAAATCATTTGCCTACCAGCATACATTAAAACGTCACATAAATACAGTACATAATCGTAACAAACCCTTTGAGTGTGAGATTTGCCACAAATCATTTGGACAAAAGGAACACCTTAGTATACACATAAGTGCAGTACATGAACGTGTTAAACCTTTCGAGTGTGAAATTTGTCACAAATCATTTGGTCGCAATGGTTACCTCAAATCTCACATAAATGCAATACATAATCGGAGCAAACCTTTCAAATGTGACATTTGTCAAAAATCATTTGGACGAAAAGGTGGCCTCGCAATTCACATAAATGCAGTACATGATCGGAGCAAACCCTTCAAATGTGACATTTGTCAAAAATCATTTGGACAAAAAAGTTATCTTAAAATTCACATAAAGACAGTGCACAAAGCCAGCCAATCCTTTGTATGTGATATTCGTCACCAGTCATATGGTTGCAAGGGATACTTTCAAATCTCATATAATGAAATTACATAATTCTAGCAAAAACTAGGAGCATATGAGAGTTGCCCGGAGACATCCAAACACCCTGAAGACTTCTGCAATCATTCTATGTAATTTTTGAAAAATATTTAACAATAAAGTATTTCAAATTTCTATTAATTTTGTTGCATCTACGAAAACTTTTCTACTCTTCTGTATAACATAAACTAAATGAAAAACTTTATTTCCCCAGCATCCCTTCCTTATATTGGTATAAGTGAATAAAAAATGCTGGCTTCGAAGCACGAGTTATTCTCAAATACTTATCGCCCAACAACTCCCACATTTGATTTCCGAGCATGCGAAAGATTGATAAACTGCAATCTTCGACAAAACAGCTCCACAAGTAGGGGTAATTCAGCTCACCCGATGCAAGGGTATATATTCCTTACTCAATTTGGAGAGGTACTATTTTACAATTATTGTGCGACTCTAATCAATTGCGTACCATAAATACATATTCTCATCGCATTATCTGTAGTAAAAAGACAGAACGCCACCTTCCTCCATTATTTTCGATGTCGAGTTTGTGACACCCAGATTCGTACTAGGAGAATCGGAATAGATCCAGCGGCACCGGCGAATACGCGAGAAAGTTTCTTCCCCAAAAAAATATTGATACATAATTCCGATGAGATTTTTACTTTCACGTATACTCAACTTTCGTGTTTTGTAGCACCCTAGCTTGTTTTTTCACTTCACGTTCCTTCATCTTTATTAGTTAAAATTTCGCTATGAAAATTAACTAATACGCGATTTTAATTATTTTGAAACTCCGGTGAAAATTTCAGCTGAATCCGTTCGATATTTCCCGAGATTTTTGTCCAGTAGTATCGAAAAGTAAAGCATCTTAAAGTTATTTTTCACCCTACAAAACCACTTGGGCATCATTTTTTAAATTATAAATATTCTTGAGTATCAAAAAAAGTTTCTTATGGAAGAAAAAATTGAAAATCCTAGTGTTGTTACCCCTTAATTTTTCACGCCAAAGGAGCTATATAAATTGCGCTCGATCATCAATTTATTTCGCGCTACTGCCGTATTATTGCATCGACTTGTTTTTTTTCTCGCGAGCGTAAAAGCTCGCGTCGCACGTTTATGCGAGATCTCGACGGAGTACCCGGGACACGGAAAACCGATGTAAAAAAAAAGTTGAAGTAAAAGAGAAAAAAAGAAATCCACGCTATACGAAAGTGATCGAGGATGCTACGTACACGTGCACGTGTGTACACGCGCGCAACTGTAACACAACAGGCGACGAATTATCGAGCTTTTTGTTCGCGCCTCGCGAGAATAGTGCATGTACGCGCGAGAAAATTCACGTAGCGCGACGACGTTGTACTTATACATCTACGGAAGAGAAAAATTGTAACTCGCTGCGAAACTTCGACGTCGCTGTGTACATGGCAAGCAGAAAAAGTCCGATATACATGTAGTGTGTGCTATACGTGTAAGTTGGATAACCGATAAGGCATCGAAGCACTGATAAAAGTTAGTCTCGCGGCACATATATTATATCGATATTATACATGCATTCGATCCCGATGTGGAGTAATGCATAAGTGTCTCGCGCGCGCGCACGGAAGAATAATCGAGTGCACTTGTTTCATGCAAATTTGCTTGCTAAACTCGCGAGACTGGCGCACTCGAAGGGAAATATTAAAAAAAAAAAAAAATCGTCGTTGAAAACGCGCGCACACACGTAAGCGCACACACGACCGCAAAAGCTCGTCGACGGACAATTGGCTTTGGGAGCTTGGCGGCGAGTAGAAGCAGCAGCAGCAAAGACAAAGTGTGCACTCCGCTTTCGAGCGAAGGAATCAAGGGAAGAAGTTTTGTAGATCGTGTGTTTGGAGAGAAGACGAGGGTGGGAGGCAGCGGGGGGGTAGGGTGAAATTTCCTCTGGAAGCAGCGGAACGTCACGTAGCTCGTGTGTGCAAGCTCGAGTCGCTCGCGAGTAAAGTCCGACGAACAAGCGCACAAACTTGATTCGCGTTCCCGTATACGCGTTAGAGAGACTCGAGCGAGAAAGTACGCGGTTATATACATATCGGAGTGCTTCGGACGAGCACCGAGCTATAACACACTCGAGCTTGCGATAGATATATACAAATAAGTTTACACGTACCACGCACGCACGCGTCTGCGGTCTCGTAAAGTTTGTGTGTATCGCGCGAACAAAAATCCACCCCGTGTATATATAATACACGTTTACCTATACTATAAATCGTATATTATGTGACGTAATGCTATTAAAGTAATCGCGAGCTGGCTGGGCGATAATTGCCTACACATAAGTACCCGCTTGATCCATGTCACGCATATATATATTATAGCTTTACACATACTCAAACGCAAACATAAAAGGGTTATTAGTCGCGCGTGCGACGCCGCGTGACACGCTTTTGGAGCGCGACTAATTAATATGGATTAGCTGATAATCGCAAGCCAAAAACACGCGCTTTATTACGTATTGTACGCGCGAGCTTTCGTAATGCGAATGGATTATTGCGTGCGCGGGTTCGCGGATAGCTTTTTAATTTTTCGCAGGCGAAACAGCTTGAAGAGCAGTATTGGTTTTTGGAAAATATAATTTGCACGAAAAATCAATCGACTGACTGTAAAGCGTCGACGCTCGAAAGAAGAAATTGATCAAAGTCCAATCGGCTATTAGGCGTTTAAATGACCGATGAATGCAGGTGGTTGACGCACGAGCTCCGTATATATGTACACATGATTGTCGCCCCTGCGCGTATACTACACACGGTACACGTGCGAGTGACAGCGGAATTTTCAATTTGAGTTACTCGATCGTGTATGAAGAGAGAATGAGAGAGAGATAGACGAGCGAGTCGATGATGAAGGCGCGTCGTACTACACTGTGTACGTTTTCGAGAGCAATTTTAATAATTAAAGCTATACACACTCGTGCTCGATGATGTTAATACAATGTAATATCAACAAAGCCAGATTGATCGATGAAAATGAAAGTTAACAAACCAATACATTAAAGGGTACGAATGAAAACAGTTAATTGTAAAAAAATTTTAAATCTTTTCACAGAACAATTTTTAGGCAAAACTCTAATGATACGATGTGCTCCTTTGATAAAACAGAATCAACAAAATTACATACGTAAAGTCAATACCAGTTATTTTTTCTTTTTTTTCATGATATTCGTGTATATCGTAGCAATGAAATCTCGTATCGGCTTTAAAAGCTTTTTCGCGATCTATCGAATTGCGCGCATGCACATGAAAATAGCTTGTTGGCTTTCAAAAATAATAATAATAATACATTTTGTAGCAAAAATGTAAGGTATGTTCATTCGTACATAAACATAATTAACACTCCGAAATTAATATTCTGTATTCCACTTCAGTTATCTTGATAAAACGAATAATTCGATTGTCTTGACGAGCACCATACGCCGCGCATCGTGAAGTTGTTTCGCAGATACTGCTTATTGAACCGAAAGCGAATGTGCTTCCAGAAAATAAATTTTACAATATCATTTTTAAATGAAAAATTTCGAGTATTTATAACAAATAGTTTTAAAAATTTAATAACTGACATATTTCGATAGTCAAGATATAACATTTAATTTACAAAGGCCATTATTTTACAACACTATTAAAACCTTGAAACAAAAGTATTTCAAAAAAGTCTGAATGCCTGAATGATGCGTTTTATGTGTCTTCAGGTTGAACTTCTAATTTTATTACGGCACCGCCGCGTACCAGAGTCATCACTACCGATCCAGCTTTTTCTAAAATTTTATATATGTCCGTGGACGATTTTATAGGATTACCATTCACGTGAGTAATTATATCTCCTGGTTTTAGTCCACCCCTGCAAAAATATTTTCATCTGTAAATTATACACAACATTTTACATTCTTAAAAAATTGTTTCTGCTTACTGATAAGCTGGTGATCCAAACATAACTCTCCATATTAAAACTCCATTTCTTACAATTGGAGACACACCACCCTGTTGCTGCATGTCATTGAGGATGTCAGGGGTGAGAGTCAGCATGGTGATACCTAGGTATCTTCTTCTAGAGTTATCTGAATATCCACCAGTCATAGATGCACCTGTTAATAAATTTAAAATGCAAATTTATTTCAAGTACAAAATTAACGTGTGAACAAAAAATTTAATATTATACCTTTGCTTTTTCTTCTTTCCTCAGCCTTTTGTAAAAAATCTTTGGCATAATCTATAGGAATTGCAAATGATATTCCAGCAGTAACTTTCATTGCATTAATACCAATGGCTTCACCATCAAGATTTACCAGAGGTCCTCCTGAATTTCCAAACTGAAAGTATAGAAAACAATTAAACTATTGAATTTTAGGAAAAGGGTAAAAAATAGATTTTATTACTGTTATAGCAGCATCCGTCTGTATGTATTCCATGTGCTTATTATGTAAACCAAGTTCATCACTGTGCCTGTTAACGCTACTTACAACACCACTAGTTATTGTATTACTTAATGCTAATGGTGAACCTATTGCAACTACAAATTCTCCAGGCCTCAATTTTGTTGACTCGCCAAGCTTCATAACTGGACAATTATCCTGGAAGTATTATTTTTAACTTTTAGAACCATAATTTTTTTTAAATAACCCAAATATAATGAAGTTAATTACTTTGTTTATTCTAACAGTTGCTAGGTCACTGTGGAAATCAATGTCTTCGACAATTCCTGTATAAGTAGAGCCATCCTGAAGTCGTACCTGTTAAATCATTTATACATTTATTTAATTGTACAATAATGAGTAACTGTATTACTTATTTGATTAGTGATTAGGATATTTTGGATACAGGAACTTGTAAGGATGGAAAGCCAGGATAGGGACTTACATGTACCTTGACGATTGAGTTAGGTTTGTTTATAACAACATGTGCATTGGTCAAAATCAAACCATCTTTTTGAACGATGAAACCAGAGCCATTGCTTGCAGTGGCAGGTTTACCAGTAAAAAGATCTATCCTAATGAATTAAAAATTGTATGAATTACAATTTAACGGTTTTCTATGATGTTGTCATTTAAGAAATTACCTCTTATGATCTTTTATCTCGATGTAAACAACCGACGGTGCCGCGGTTTCGACGACATCCGCAATAAAATTAAATTTGTTCCTGAAACTTTTGACGTCCGTCGGAATGATGCTCGCGGCCGAGACACCGGGTAGAACGGCATTTTTGATCGCGCACCAAGCCGACGACCTTCTGTCATCGTCGTCGCTGCTCAGACCGTAAACAGCACAGCAGAGTCCCGAGAGGGCCGCGTAGGTTAGGAGGCGGCCCGAGGTTTTTTTTTCGTAATCACCACCACGACGATGCCGTTGCTGCTCGTGAGCGGAGAACTGCCTGATGCTGCACGGGGTGTCGGCACAGACGAGCACCGCCAATTGTTGATAACTATTGATCGACCGTTGAGTTTTCGACAGACGTCGAACGGATTTTATTAAAGTGGCTGCCATGGCGGCTTTGTTGTTTCAAGGCTAGGGCTAGCTCTCGACGCATGTGTGACTCGCGATTTCAACGTATTGCTCAAAGATTCAGGCTGGCGATACGTTAATAAATATAGATTGTTACGGATTATATTTAATACTTTTCTCGGTGGCAATGTACGTTCGCGGATTACACGTAAAAATATCATTGTCCGATCAATGATGATTTGTGTGCCGATTTTTCCTGTATTTTACGTTATCATTATTGTTATAGACCGGAGACTAGTTCATAATTTTCCGATTTGAGCTACGCAATTGTTTTTGTTATTATCAATTACATAAGATGAAATGGTAACGCGAATAAATCCGTAGATAAATTTAAGGAAAAATTTAAATCAAGTTGAGATTTAACGTAAACTAACATTTAAGTTTGGTAAAAGAAAATGCTTATCAATTCATACTATTATTAGCAATTTACGTATCAACGAATTCAGAAAACATTCAGTTGGCATAATTCTGATTATTTATGACAGTTATGAGTACATTGTTTCAAGCTCTCTTCATTTTCAACATAATATCATAACCAAGCCAGCGACGTACACTACTGGTAAATTATAAATATTCATTCAGTATTTTCACGTTCTGTTAATTTTATATAAATTGTAAGTTCGTGCTGTGTGTGATGTCGTGATGTCTTGTTTATAAAATGCTCGAAGCTAGTATCTGATTGATATTTACTTTCTGCTAGTACGATTCACATCATATACGTTATATACCTAAATATTTGGTATCTTTGAAAGAAGCCAATTGTTTTGGTTAGACGATTATAGCCAGTTTTGACTCAAATCATTTTCATTTACAAGAGTCCTTCGTTTGATTGACATTATACGTATGTTGGGATGACCTCGAAAGAGGCTGATGACTTGATGGCTTAATGAATGAAATGTTTAGGGCTAGAAATGTAAGAATAATCGTTCTCTCTTTCCAAGTTCTGTTGATTAGAAGTGCGTTATATTCGAGTCAGTGGCAACCTTGAGATTGTCGACTGCTATGGTAACGTGACGATTAAAGCGATGTACATATTAATTTATAAGTTGTTCTGTGTTTTGAAAGTTTGTTATACGTTTTAGAATTTTGGTGGCCTTGAAAAAGGCCGATTGTTTTTTTTTATAAGATGATCAAGGCATTGATGCTTAACCGCCGAAACCGTACAAGGTGCGGCCCTGTCTCTTGAGTGCGTAGACTACGTCCATGGCGGTGACGGTCTTGCGCTTGGCGTGCTCGGTGTAAGTGACAGCGTCACGGATAACGTTCTCGAGGAAGACCTTGAGTACACCACGAGTCTCCTCGTAGATCAGTCCGGAGATACGCTTGACTCCGCCACGACGAGCCAGACGGCGGATGGCAGGCTTGGTGATTCCCTGGATGTTATCACGCAGAACCTTCCTGTGGCGCTTGGCTCCTCCTTTTCCCAATCCTTTTCCTCCCTTTCCACGTCCAGTCATGATGAGAGATAACTTGGGGTTTACTGTTCGACGGAGAGCAGCGAACTGATGCCGAGTAAGGCAAAGTGTCAGTATTTATAGGCCGGCAAGCGGTGCGGTCCCCCCTTGGGTGCACGCGCGGCTCCCCTCTACGAAATTCGGGCCAATGAGCGCGTCGCTGCCTAGTCTCGCTACGCGACGAGGAAACGGTATATAATAAGCACTCTGCCGTCGTGACATCATTCGATTCGTATTGCTCTTACGCATCACACAAACGAATTTCTTCTCGCCATGGCCCGTACCAAGCAAACCGCTCGTAAGTCTACCGGAGGCAAGGCTCCACGCAAACAACTCGCGACCAAGGCCGCTCGCAAGAGTGCCCCAGCCACCGGAGGAGTCAAGAAGCCACATCGTTACAGGCCTGGAACTGTCGCCCTTCGTGAAATCAGACGCTACCAGAAGAGCACCGAGTTGTTGATCCGCAAGCTGCCATTCCAGCGTCTAGTACGTGAAATCGCCCAAGATTTCAAGACCGACCTTCGTTTCCAGAGCTCAGCTGTGATGGCCCTGCAAGAAGCCAGCGAGGCCTACCTCGTCGGACTCTTCGAAGACACGAACTTGTGCGCCATCCACGCCAAACGTGTCACCATCATGCCCAAGGACATCCAGCTGGCTCGTCGCATTCGTGGAGAACGCGCTTAAGTCCTAACATCTCATAACAACTCACCCAAAACAAATAGTCCTTTTCAGGACTACCAATATTTAAAACGAGGAATTAATTTTCACACACACGTAACAATCGATTGCATATATTTGAAAATATATCCATTACCTACCAAACCATTCTCACGCTGGAAGAAAGTAACTACAGGTCAACTTGAAAAATATTATTCTTACGTATTTTACGTTGCCATGTGAAATTACTTGTAATTGACCATGACACTAGATTTGATGTAAGAATTATATTCTCATACGCCAACATCTACATGAGTGTATCATTAGTATAAAAAACCTCTTGAAATCACGCAGAGAAATTGTAATGCAAAATCTCAATAATGACAATTAATTTTGACCTTGAACGTATACTCAATTCTACAGACAACCATTAATTAATTTTTCTACTAAGGACTCTTAATTATTAATGAAAATTTGAATAAAACTGAAAAGTTTACGTTCAAGTATGACTCAAATAGTGTTTTTCGTGTAGATGAAATCGTTACTACACTATGCGAGATTTTCAGGGGTTTCTATATGCTGACGTGATACCTTTTGTAACAATTAAAAGCCCCAAGCACCAATAATATTATTGATCTGGCCGGCGATGAATTGTTCATGATTATTGCATACGAAATCATTGCTAAATAATCATACATTCGGCTCGTACGGTACGTACGGCATTATTTCAGAATTACTTTGAAATGAACATTATGAAAGTTATGAAGTACAAGATTCAAATTTTAATATATCAAGGATGAAATTCGATTACAAATGTATATTTTCAGTCTAGTGCACTGAATCTTTTACTAAACTCTATTCTATTTAACGAGTTTATGATGTCTGACAGAAGCTCATAAAATTTTTATCTCATTCAGCCGAAATATTGAATTCCGGTAAATATAAATTATAAGCATTACAAAATTATAGTGACCTTGGCTTACAAACGACTGTGCTAAACTTAGCATAAATAAAATTTAGAAAAAAGTTTGATTAGAGATTTTCTCATTTATCTAATGAGACGATAAGAAGAGACTCGTTGTATTCTCAAGGTCTTGAGAATATTCATGACACCGTCACTTACACTAAACGTAAGACGGTCACAGCTACGAACGTAGTACATCCTCCGACAAGACCGCACCTTGTATTGTGCGGTGAAATGCCTAGCAGTAACATCTTGTAACCAAAGCCATCGGACTTTTTCAAGGACGCAACGAACTTAAAACGTAAATCCAGCAAATAGAACATGAAAATGATGAAATGAATATCAGCAAATTACTAGCACTAAGCATCGCTCGTTCGGTTTTTTAAAGAAAACAATGAATCGAATATATTATTAGAATTATTTCTGCTAATTTTTAATATTTTTTTAACTATGAGCTTCTTAATTGGAAAACTTTGAATTGACGAAAAAATTGATTAATTTTTTGACTCTTCGGAAACTAGAAAATAGTTGGGCTACTCGATAGTTTCGTTTTTTATTAATGATTTTCGCATCGATTATAATTCGAGTACACTTATAATGAGACTATAAAATGCCAAATGTCAGTTTTAACTAACTCGTTGATCGCTGATAGCATCAAATTTATAAACCCTAAAATTACAAGCCACAGGTACAAATAATGTCTATATGTTATGCAGTTTATGCATTGAGTGTTGATATGCTTAATCTGCGAAATGAAAATGAGTTCGCTATCGATAAACTGAGGATAAAACATATCTAAAACTTGTCGCGCCTTTGTTCGGGTTCATTCAGAGATTTTCGTCGCGAGATAAATAAACTGTAATTACTCTTATATCAGGACTCGACGTAAAATGACTCGTTCACATCATCAAGGACTAGTCGACACGTCGACACAAAATTTACCGTCACCGCACAGTTGTGTTGACGTCGCGTCACGATATATGTATGGTATCCCGCAATTTACTACAGACTGTGCTTCACAGATACTTCCCCACAGCTCGAAAATATTTCGTCTTTCGTTGCGTATGACGTGAAATACGAAATTTTTCGAAGTGACCAGTAATACACAACAGACTACGCTTCTCTGATACTTCCATACAGCTAGAAGACATGACGTTCAAGTTGCTTACGATGTATAATACGTACTCAAGTTGCTGTAATTCTTACGATTGGACTCGTAAGACAGATATACATAATTGTGTGAATTTTAATTAAATATTTTAGTCAAATTGAATAGATTTTCCTATGTTTGAATGTTTTGTTGGCCCTGAGAAGGGCCGGTTGTTTTTAAGAGGTGTCAAGCGTTTGGTAGAGAAATTTAAGCCTTCTTCTCGGTCTTCTTGGGCAGAAGTACGGCCTGGATGTTGGGCAATACACCACCTTGGGCAATGGTAACTCCGGAGAGGAGTTTGTTCAATTCTTCGTCATTACGAATGGCCAATTGGAGATGTCTGGGGATGATTCTCGTCTTCTTGTTGTCGCGAGCAGCGTTGCCAGCCAACTCGAGGACCTCAGCGGCCAAGTATTCCATGACAGCGGCCAAGTAGACTGGAGCTCCGGCACCGACTCGCTCGGCGTAGTTGCCTTTGCGCAGCAGACGATGGATCCTGCCGACTGGGAATTGAAGTCCGGCACGAGTCGAGCGGGTCTTTGACTTGCCCTTGGCCTTTCCAGCACCACCTTTTCCACGTCCAGACATCTTCGAGATAGATTGGGTAAACTTCGTACGTGTGACTTCGAGAAGGCACGAATGCGATTTGAGTAAAGAGGGGCCGTGTCGCGTCTTTTATACTCGGCAGCGGATGGCGCGCGAACCGAACGAAGGGGGGAGCCGCCGAGTTGCGGTAGAGGGGTGCGCGTCGCAGCGTCGCGCGCCGCACAGTTTCTCATATAAAAGCAGCGGTCAAACTTCGCCTCGGCACATTCTTGCGTTTTCACCGAATCCGTACAGAGACTCTACCGCAATGGCTCCCAAGACCAGTGGCAAAGCTGTGAAGAAATCTGGCAAGGCCCAGAAGAACATCTCCAAGAGCGACAAGAAAGGCAAGAAGAAGAGGAGGAAGGAGAGCTACGCCATCTACATCTACAAGGTCTTGAAGCAGGTTCACCCAGACACCGGAGTATCCTCCAAGGCCATGAGCATCATGAACAGCTTTGTCAACGACATCTTCGAGCGCATCGCCGCCGAAGCCTCCCGTCTGGCTCACTACAACAAGAGGTCGACCATCACCTCCCGGGAGATCCAAACCGCTGTCAGGCTCCTCTTGCCCGGTGAGCTGGCCAAGCACGCTGTCTCTGAAGGTACCAAGGCTGTGACCAAGTACACCAGCTCGAAGTAAATTGCCTTGCCTTTTTGAAACCACCTCTTCGCAAAAACAATCGGCCTTTTTCAAGGCCACCAATTATTTTTACAAAGGAAAAACTAATCGTTAAACAAAACAAATATCTCCTACAACCATCCTAAAAAATTCAGACCTACTCAAATATCGTCTGCAATAATATTTAATTAGGATAGACTATAACAATTCGAATATTACCCGACAATTAAAATCAATAGTTAATTGAGAGTTTAAAAGAATATTAATGATTATCATCAAATTATAAATGACGTGTTCAATAAGTTTTATGAAGTATACAATATGAAAAAATATTTTTCTTCAATTATCCGGTTTTACAAGCATAACGAAGGTTGCCGTGCAATTGCTCAGACGGTACCCGTATTAGCGAGTCTATGACAACATTGCTTGCGAGAGAAGCGTCTTTCGAGTTTCGAGTGAGTCTCAATTTATGATGGTAAACAAAAACATCTCTAGCAACCGAGGCAAAGGGGAAATTTATACACACGTTCGTACGTACGTAGCATTCACACGTCATCGTTTTATACGTGAAATTTTCGTCAATAATACAGCTCTCTCGATAGAAAATTGATCGATGAAAGAATTTCCACGCAATTATGTATTTTTTTGCTATAAAAACTCGTTTTAAGAATTGAGTAAAATCGATTGAACTTCGATAATATAATAAAATTATTTAATATGAAAATGATTACCAAAATGCCTACCTGTAAGATTACGTTATATTATGAAAACAAATCCATCTTCATTGGTATAAAGAAAATGGCCTTGAATAAATTTTGTTACTTTTCTACGAATTTCGTCTACATTACCGATCTGACTGAGCATTAGAAAATTGCAATTACTCTATTCCTTATTTTTGCAAGCGATGAAAAAAATTAAGTCGATGTCAAAGGTATGACTTTGACGATGTATATAAAATCATTATATTTATTTTACGTTATGTTTACGTAATGTTCATACATTAAGAAATCTCTCATGTAAAATCGTCAGACAAAACAGAAGTATTGTTAAATTTAATTCTGAAACGAATAAATAAAAGTTACTCAAAATTCAAACGTAAAATTAGATAGTTTTTATGTTATCCATCATGAAAATGCAGAAATGAAAATGAATAAACAGTGAACGCATTTTTCATTGAGTTTATTGTCGTGAATATTATCATTATTGTTAATATTGTTGATTTGGTTGACTTTTAATAATACATCTTGATTCTGTGAGTTGCTATTTGTACAGATTAGATTAAATTGAATCGATTGATATTTAATTTATGCTTGAACGTTCAGAGAATATGCTCATTTCTGCCGGAATTTTCTAAAAGAAACGCACCAAATTCAGCGCCTATTTTTCTATCATTGTTCTCGTCTACCAACTTGCAAGCTGGATCAATGAAACAGGATTCTGAAATTGCCGTCGAAATTGACATTTAAATCACATTTTCAAAGATGTAAGTTTATTACATTTCGTTGCGTACCTTGAGAGCAACAAATTCCATTGGCTGCGCATCTCCCGTTGTTGTTCTGGCACATGGCGAAGCCGGCGACGCAAGGCCTCGAGTAGAGGCTCTCCTTTCTACAGGACAGCGTCTCGGAGGTGCCGATGAGGCAGCCCATGCTGGGGCTGCAGCAGATGTGGGGCCCGAAGCAGTGGCCCTGCTCCTCGTGGCCGCACACCGGACACTGCGGAAATACGAGGGTAGTAATTTCGTAAGATCTAGTTGCTCGAAAGACTTACTTCTCTAGCTATATTTTCTAAAAAAAATGTAGGATCACCACGTTTTCCTCCTCGTGGACAGTTGGTTATTAAGCAACAATGAGACAGAGAGAAAAGCATCACAAATACGAAAACTATAACTTTCAACATTTTGAAGCTGAGATTTTTTTTAGTTTTTAAACTTTGCCGGGAAGGTTTTTTGCTCTTTGAAACAAGTTACACTGTGTGTTTTGCTCGAAGTACGAAAACCCTCTGGTCGAATTTTACGTCAGTTTTATGTATTTATACCCCTTATACACCCCATTATGAATTCACACGGCTCTTGAAGAATGAAGAATCTGGTCTCAATGGAGCACTCAAGATTATGGAAATGTATGTGTATTGAATTGCATGATATACACGCCAATTCACCTTTCTTTTCAGTATCCGCTTTATAATAAATCAAATTCATGTCACAAGTATGAATTTTATCGAGAAAAATATTTCCGAGTTGAATAACAATTAGGATTGGATTTATATAGTTTCTAAAAATAAGTTTTTCAATGACATCATCTAATGCAAAAATGAAGTAACTTTTTACAAGCACTTTTTTTGTTAAATTTAAATTTTCTATTGTTACCATACATTTCTTATCAATTTTTTGACAGTTTTGAAGTTTGATAAGGAATTAATTATGTTTCATTTTTTTACATTAATAACAATCAAAACATTTTCTTGATTTTATAAATATTTTATTTGTATAAAATTATATATTTTACAAATTTCTAATTAATTCTTTTGTTTTTTAATTAGTTTCCCTTTCTTGGCAGGTTTTTCAATTTTCCCTGCTTTTTTTTGCTTCAGTTTTTTTAGTGTCTTTTGTTCCTGAATTGTTTCAGATTTCTTACTGCTCTCAGCTTTGTTCAGTTTTTTTACCAGTTTTTCACCTTTCTCAACTTTATCTTGTTTTGGAATAAATTCAGATTTTTTATTGCTCACAGCTTTGTTCAGTTTTTTAACCAGTTTTCCACCGTTCTCAACTTTATCTTGTTTTGGAATAGATTCAGAATTATCATCGCTCACAGCTTTGTTAATGTTTTTGAATGATTTTTTACCATTCTCAACTTTTTCTTGTTTTGGTTTTTTTGATTTCTGTTGTTCCTGAATAGAATCACAATTTTCATCGCTCTCAGCTTCTACCTCGTCTTCTCTGACATTTTCTTCACTGTCCTCGACTTTTTTCTGTTTCTTGGCAGGTCTTTCACCATTCTCTCTTGCTTTCCTTTTAAGAAGACGTTTTTGTCTTTTTTCTTCTAATTCCTTTTCTTTAATCTCTTTTAATCTCTTTTGTTCATGAACTGATTCACATTCTTTTTCAGTGTGACCTGGAAGCAAAATTTTTATTATTTTCTTTTTCATTTATAAAAAATTAACATGATGGATTTCAAGACTTACCAAATTCATTACACTTATAGCAACATCCAACTTTTGGTTTGTTTGTACATTTATGATTTGAAAGTGCACAGCGATTGCATTTTTTACAATGCACCCAAGAAGGCTTCACACAGCGTTTGCAAGGGTTACAATGTCTGTATGTCCTTCCATCTTTTGAGGTACAAGCTTGACAAGTTCTACAATGCTTATTTTCTGCTGCAACCCATCTTTTACATTTCTTACAATATTTATATCCATCAGATTCAGGCAATTTCAGCAAGTTTTGAGGAATATTTGTAAAGATTCTAACTTGAGATCCTTGTTTTTTCTTTTCTTCATCTTTTGCAACAAACAAAGGATGATTATCGTACTCTACTTTGTAATCTGACATTTTTAAGTCACTCAAACCTCCTTCAACGTCTTGAGGATTTGATTTTTGTTTCATAATGCCTTCCATATAATATGGCAGTATAAAAAAGACTTTTATTTCATCTTCTTCATTGACAATATTATTTAATTTTTTATGCAAATCTCTAATAGTTTTCATAGTTTGTGACATTGGTTCAAGCCTTCCGCCAAATGGTGGATCACAGACAATAAAAGTATTTTTACCTTTATTTTGTGTAAGAAATTGTTCTAATACTGTTTCTGAATTTTCTTGAAAGAAATGATGGTTAAACAAGTTGTACCAACAGTAGCTCAATGGACCAAAAAAGTTGTGCTATAAATTAGAAAAATACACACAATAAATAAGTTATATATTTTCCATAAATATAAAAAATTCTGAGACTTACGAATCTTCCATCGAAATCCAACAAGAGACTGGACATTTTATCACTACAATTTTCTGTTATATGCTCGTGTATCCGAGGTGTGCCAATGCATAACACATTTTCAGCATTCAAATCAGTTAACATATTCATGATGTCATTAACAGATTTTTTAGAAAATAAGTACTGAGCTTCTTTTTTGGCATTTTCCAAAGGCTTCAAAATTTCAGTTGGATGGGTCATTTGATAATCTGTAAGATTTTCTACCACGTCATGATCAGCATGTTTTCTTGTAGTTGACGGAGAATACAACTGATTACAATCGTGACAATAAGCTCTGTTGCTTGGCTTATCAGCAATTAATTGATTGTATATAACAAAAAGTTTTTGATGATAGTAAGTAACAGGTTTTTCTACTATTTTATTTTTTGACATGTGTTTTGGTTTTTTTGATAGATCCTCATCTAACGGCTGGTAAAAAGAACAAATTTTTCTGTCTCTACAAGCTGAGCAAGCATAAAATTTTTTCACTCCTCCATCAATTTCTCTACCAAAAAGTAATGCTGGTCCTGTTAAAAAAATGTTTCATTAGCACTTATATAAACAAAGCCTTATAATAAAGTAAATAGATACATTTATAAATATATTGAAACAATGATTTTTACATACCATGAATACAAGATGGATGTTTTTTTAAATCACTCCAGTAACAATTCAAAACACCTGGCGGTTTATAATCCTTCATTTTTAATGAATTTTAGTTATATTTAACAAATAAAACAAATCAATTTTTAATTCACAAGTGTATGTGAGACACCGGCTACGAATAACGAACTATGCGAGCACGTGCGTGTATAACACTCTATTCACGTATCACACCCACGCTGCACACATACACGTGCGGCATGGCAAAGCAGACGAAGTTAAGGCTTGTGCTACATTGAGTAGTTGCGCATCGCACTGCCAGTTTGAGTATCGCGTTTTTCAAGTAAGCACTGCTGAACTGCTCATTATTGAAATCGGATCATTAAAATACCTCATTATTCTTAACAATATTGTAAGAAAATTGGAACTTATATAATTATAGATTTTCAGTGAAAAATATTAATCATATGTGCCGAGCTTCTGATTATTACTGACTTTTTTTTTATAGTTCGATTTTCGAAAAACGACTCGACATTATTGTTTTTCTGCATAATACAGTAAAAAATTTAAACTGTTCAATCAATTATTTTTTATAGAAAACTGTATAGTAATTTTCTTAATTATTTTGACATGACGTAATTTTGCCGCGAGAGATACGCAGCAGAAGACCGAACGAAAATAATGCACGGGAGCTTGGGAAGAAAATACGATGCTGTTCCGTGCACTCACCTCCTCCCTGCACTGACATATATAGTGCAGGTGAGCTGTTCTTATCATATGTATGTACCTCTTTGGTTGCTGCTGCCGTTGCTGCGTGCCATTGACTTGCAGCAACTGATAATAGACTTGTTTTGTAATACTCTTTTTATTTTAGTCAAGTTACAATGAGTGCAATAACGAATCTGTTGAAAGCTGTCAAAGTTGATCAATCAATAGTCTTGTCAATGCAATTACATTCTAAGCATGAAAATAAATTCGCGAGATAAATCTTCGAGTATAAATAGGCTTAAAGTATAAAATACCATTTTTACGCAATTAAAAGTATGACTTTAATTAAATAAAATTAAATTTGAGTGCATAATCAGACTGTTTTCTGTCGTACAGTATTGTTGCTTCAATACAAAATGACGCGTCTAAAAGGACGAACTTCCATGACCATCATCTTGATGTTTCTGCTTGCATTATTGATAGTTGTTTATCATTTACTAAGCAATGAAATTGATGACACATCTCTCAAAACTCACTCGTATGCAAGATTTGAGGAAAGTTACACTGGTGATCCTCGCTCATTAAAAATGATGAGTGGTTTGAAGTCTGGAAGACGACAAGAAGATTACAATGGTGATGTTGATAAAGGTTCATACGAAAGAGATTCACTCTTCAAAGGGCATAAAATTGTTCATTTAGATTTAAAAGGAGCTCCACCTGTGATTAACTATTATAAATACCTCTTGCCAACGATAAAAAAGTTGGGGGCAACTGCAATACTTTTAGAATATGAGGATATGTTTCCTTTCCATGGAGATTTAGATGGTATAAGTGCAAAAAATTCATATTCGAAAAATGAAATCAAGCAAATCCAAGAAATTGCCAAAGAAAATAATTTAATGATCATTCCTTTGATACAAACCTTTGGTCACTTAGAGTTTGTTTTGAAATTAAAGAAATACATAGAATACAGAGAGGTGTCACGCTATCCGCAAGTTATATGCCCTACTTTCAACAAGACTGTAAGTCTTCTGCATAATATGATAGATCAAGTTATTGGATTGCATCCAGGTCTTAAATATTTGCATATTGGAGCTGATGAAGTTTATCAGATAGGTGAATGTAATAGATGTTTGCAAACAATGTCCAAGTTTCAATGGTCAAAGAGGCAATTGTTTCTGAAGCATGTGCACGATGTGGCTTCTTACATTAAAGATAAATATCCTCACATTACTATTCTTATGTGGGATGATGAGTTCAGAGATATAGATCCTCAAGAAATCATTAATAGTGGTTTAAACAGATTAGTTGAACCAGTTATTTGGAAATATACTACTGACCCTGGTTCAGCTTTGTCTGATCAATTGTGGGAAAACTATTCCAAAGTCTGGAGATCAGTATGGGTAGCAACAGCTTTTAAAGGAGCAACATCCCCTGACAGATACTACACAGATATACTTTACCACATGGAAAATCATCAAAGATGGCTGGAAATAATTGTGCGTCAGTCAAAAATAATCAATTTTCGAGGAGTGATTTTAACTGGTTGGCAGAGATATGACCATTTTAGTGTTTTATGTGAACTTTTACCATCAGCGTTACCATCATTAGCAATAAACTTGATGATTCTGCAAACTTCAGATTATAATATTTTACCCATTGAAGTACCTAGAAAAGTAATGGAAATTTTGAATTGTAATGGTATAATTACATTGAGTCTTCCAGAACCACAATATGGATGGACAAAATGCAACTACTTTGGATCTTCCATTTACTCTGCTACCCTTCGTTTACACTCTTTAACTCAAGAAATTACAAGAATGGAACAAGACAGCACTTACAGAGGATGGCTCAAACCATACAACATAAAGTACAGGTTTTCCAATCCGAGCCACGTTGAAAGAGCAGTTTCTGAATTGGACAGGTATAAAATGGAAATTGTTTACATTGAAAAGGAAATGAAAAGTGCTACTGAAGGAATATTCAACAACTACACAGTTCAAGAATGGTTGGAAACCTACTTATATCCTTTAAATGATAAAATCATTGAGTTGTGGAATGCTAAAGAAAAAATATTAGAAAGAGATTCATGGCCTCGAAGGCCATTGTCTGAACCGCCAAAAGATTAATTAATGAGATTTTTTTTATAAAACTTGACCGAAAAAGATTGTGTTCATGAAACATAAAAGTATTTATATTGGCTATTATTAGGTTGTTTTTTGTTTTGTAGAAATAACTCTATAATTCTATCTAGTTATAAAAAATACTCAAAATATTGTACAGAATGTGTCTGCCTGTATGTCGATAAAACGAAAAATTAATTATTATAAAAAGAAATTTGATTTTCATGTAAAATAAACTCATCATTCATTGCTTATTAAGTGAGCAGTAATCGTACTTTGATGGTAAACAAAGGTAGTATCTTTCATTGTTGTATTCTAAACACAAGAATCATGTAAAATGAAAATTAGCGTAGCTTTGTGACGATAAAATATTCCGAATTAAATAATAAAATTAAAATAAAAAATTTTTGGAAAGAAATTTGCAAAATTTCAAGCATTTTAATAGACATATAATTGATTTTATTTAATCATACATGAGATTATTTGTATGCTTTGTTAATATATATTTTTAAAGAGTAAATACACTCATAATAGTAAATTTTATCAAACTGTACAAATTAATTTACTCTCTTTTATCCTATATCTTATTATCAAACTGGCCCCGCAGTAGATTTGGTTGATAATTCTGTTTTACATAGCTATGTAGATAAAATCGATGCCGCGTGAAAACTAATTGTAGCAAAAAAATGAATAATGTATCAATCGATACCGACCTATTTCACGGTTGTACAAAAATATTCGATCACTCGATAGTTCCAGTTTACACGTTTTTTTTATGTTACCGAATTTTAAAAGACTCGAGATTTAAATAATTAAAGAATATATTATTATTATTATTATTTTTTTTTTTCAACAGCTCTGTTTTCGGCGATCGTTACCATAAATATAAATTTGAATTCATCTTTTTTTTACTTTAATAAATATACTTAATTCGCTGCGACGATCGAGAAGGCCACCACACACGTCTCTGCGCAGCTATTGCAACGAGCAGGATATCGATTTGGGTATTGGAAGATTTTTCGGCTTGAAGTGATGGATCGTGATGTGCTTCTTGTTGGGCCGCCTGTTGACGACCTTGCGGTTCTTCGGCACGGGCATGTCCACGGTCTCGCCGATCTCCGCCGTGACGATCGGCTTGTGGTAGTCCTGATCGATCTTGGTCAGTCTGATGCCGAGTATCTTAGCGGCGAGGGTCACGATGCACAACGAGACCTGCGATCAACGATATCACGCGGGAGTTTTTATTTTCGATTCGATATACAAAATTGATTGTATTCGTCGTATACCGATTCACCCGTTCGCGCCGACATGTCCTGATAATGAAAGCCGTGCTCGGCGGCGAATCGGTGCGATCTCTCTCGCTTGACCGTGCGCTGATGCTCCATGTCGCACTTGTTGCCGATCATGGCCATCATCGGCAGCTCCTGCAGGTCCTCGCTCAGGTCCCGGATCTCGGCGATCCATTCCTCGAGTATGTCGAAGCTCGCGCTGTTCGTCACGTCGTATACCAGCAAGATCAACTGTAAAAATAAAGATAATATAGTATAAAAAATCAGTTCCACTCGGTGCTTATTGACATCATATTATAAACTCACGTGAGCCTCGTAGATGTACTTGTCGAGCATGTTGCCGCGCAGCGAGAGTCCGCTGACGTCCCAGAGCTGGATATTGACATTCTTGTGGTGGCCCAGCGTGACGTTCTTGTAAAAGAAATCGATGCCCGCCGTGGGCGAGTACTGCCGCGAGAAGTTATTGTGACAGAACCTCGTGGCGATGCTGGTCTGTGTACGTACGTGTGCGTGTGGGGCACATAATGTATAATTTTTCACCAGAGTCGTATAGACTTTATCGATTGCGCGCGCGAATAATATACGTATGTAGAGTAGCGTACCAGTGTATTACAGGGTATAATAATATCGCCAGCTATACGATGTTTTTTTATATACCTCATGTATACACTGCGATCGAAAAATGCGGTAAGAAATGTGCGTCAATTGTGTATAATACTCACTTTGCCAGCCGCCGAATCGCCAACGAGGACGATTTTTAATCTCTTCTCGGCCGCGTACTCTTCGGTTTCTTCTTCCATATACGCGTCCGATGAGCGATGACGTTATTAGAGAGCATCGGTCACGCCGATATTGTAATCATAACGTTGCGAAAAACAATAAAGCGTCCTACGCTTCCGTCTTGATCGTCGAAGAATAAGAAAAGTAAATAAATGTATACCGAATGCACCAAACGTTATTACGATGCAATGTACAATCGGTCTCGATGCATCACTCTTTTGTTGTGTTTTGCTGGTGTCGCAGCGATACGCCCGCGCGCCGCGCACTCGCCCCGGTGGTGACGCTTTTTTTTTTATATATTACCGGCCGACACTGCTTTAGTTTTTTTTTTTTTTGTTTTGCCCGAGATATATACGTAGGTGTACCTATGCACAACAGGCGTGCTCGATGCCGACTGATACGCTGCTGATGTTGCTGCGGGCTTTGCGCTGCCTATGGCGATAATCGACCGCTGCGGCGCGTTCATATACCTACATATATACGGAGTCTAGCCCTTTAATAGTGTGGGTGGGTGAAAAGCTCCGAGGCATACACGTGTGGTGGTGCACGAATAGCATCCGTACGTACACTTGCGCGCCGAGGCAAAAACATTATCGCGGTGCCTCGTGCTAGCTGTGCAGCGCCCCGGGGTCTATATACGTACATATGTAAGGTGAATATACGGATTAAGCGTTAGTGTACATTGAGTACACACATGGCGGGCTGCCTGAATAAATTATCGAATCAATCGATAACGTTATAAGAAAGCCTCGCGGCTCGTGAGGACACCTATATATAATGTACGTACGTTTTATAACTCAACCCCCCCAGTGTGTTCGCGTTGACCGCCTCGATACTGTGTATTATAAAATCGGCCACGCGCGGATATCCCCCCGCGCATATCTCAATGCAGATCGTGTGCCTCGAAGACATTACGGCACTGCGGGTTGATTTTTTTTTTTTTTTTTTTTTTTTTTTTTTTTTTTTTTTTTTTTTTTTTTTTTTTTTTTTTTTTTTTTTTTTTTTTTTTTTTTTTTTTTTTTTTTTTTTTTTTTTTTTTTTTTTTTTTTTTTTTTTTTTTTTTTTTTTTTTTTTTTTTTTTTTTTTTTTTTTTTTTTTTTTTTTTTTTTTTTTTTTTTTTTTTTTTTTTTTTTTTTTTTTTTTTTTTTTTTTTTTTTTTTTTTTTTTTTTTTTTTTTTTTTTTTTTTTTTTTTTTTTTTTTTTTTTTTTTTTTTTTTTGTTAAATATCATGTAAATGTGGTCCCTTGAGTCTTAGATAGTCACGCGAGACTTCGCTTCCGGGGGTTCGAGAGTTTAATGTGGACCGAGAGAGGAAAATACCGCAGACACGTGCCACTTTTTTATAGAGTCGTTTTATCACTACACGTGTTTCATGAGAGTACTGGAAAAATTATAAACAAAATTAATACTTACTTCTGGAATAATTTCAAGATTTTTTGTGCCTTGCATGTACCCCTTAACGTTTCTCGGTGATAAAAAAAATAATGATTACTCGAAAAAAAAATTCTAATACATGCTTATCGTTTATCGCTCGCGCATAGCAAAGTGATCGATTGCTTATGACACGACGATCGCTTGACCAAAATACTCGTACCTAACTCTCCATTATTCTTAAGAATAATGGATCAATAAGAAAAAAGTATAAGCTATCGACTGAGTACGTTCATTTGATCAATTGAAAAGTTCAAATAATCTTCAAATGTAATTTTCCAAAAAATCTAAAAATTTAGCTTTCAGGCACTTTTCAGACACTAATCCATCAGTTAATACTTCGCACCGTAATTTCGATGTATTAAATAAAATTTATAAACTTTCAGAGCTCAAATGTTGAAAAAAAATGATCGAAGAGTCCATTAAGCAGATTTCTAAATAATCAATTTTTGTTCCTAGTTATCGGACACTGATGGTCAGTAAAACTTTAACGTATTAATCACTTCCAAAGTTCGAAAATAAATATTTACGATAACTTACTACGAATAATATTTTTTTTTATCGAAAGTGGTATATTTCTCGTTTGTGTGAATGTTAATAATGTATTGCATACTTATCTGGATGAATGATATTTTCATTAAAATTTCATTGTAGTTTTAATGATACGTGGGTGTTTCTTATGTCTTGCACTCTTGTAGTAAATTAGTGCGTACGGCCAGTCGATGGTGGAAGGGCGTAATAACATAATGACGCCGACGCAGAGGCATCAGAGAAAGCTGACTGAATCGACGGCTACGTGTGATTCTCGTAAAAAAAGTCTCGTAATTTCCACCTCGTGTTTTTAAGTTCTTTTCATAGATCGTACAGTGCACGTGCGCAGTCAGTCCTAGTTAAGACGCCTACGCATAAGCATCAGAGGTTACTGACTGCATCGACGGCTACGTGTGATTCTCGTATCGTAAAAAAAGTCTCGTAATTTCCACCTCATGTTTTTGAGTTCTCTTCATAAATCGAACAGTGTATGTGCAGAGTCAGTTCTACTGAAGACATCAACCAGTAAACATCCGCAAAAGACCGAATCGACGGGTACACGTAATTTTCTTGAAAAAATATCTGTCATTTTCGGCCACGTGTTCTGTTCATACAGCGAGTAAATCTCACAAAAAGTAACTTTTTTTAAAATTTTATCGCGTTTGTGTATCGTGCGTGATTGCAACTATAGACATGTCTTCCGACGACCAATCCGCTGAAAGTTTCCACGGCCATGACGATTTTAATAAAAAAAAATTAGAAAGTTTGAAGAATTTACGTGAAAATATCAATTGGAAGGTTAAAAAAGAGCGTAATGAATTGCTCCGTCAACTTTATCCCTTAATCAGTGATTGGACAATTGGACTTTCAGATCTTTGCAGTATTTTTCGATCCAAAGAAATCAACTGCCTTCTCATTGAGGAGGTGAAGAATCTGATTGAACTCATGGAACACATAACTGCAGATCAATTTTACGAACGAAATTATGACGAAACTATATATCAATGCAAATTCCTTGAATTTGTAAACAAAACCGGCTACAAGGACGAGCCCGAAGTTCAGAGAAATGGCAAGCAACTGTTGTGTCGTACCACACCACTGCATCATGCGTCTCGATTCAAAAAATACCTTGGGTGCAAAGGTTTTCACGATAATCGACATTTCTGGATCATTCCTATTATCCGTAAATTTTTTAACATTTACAACAAATTTGACTTGAATTACATCGACGATTTGGGATGTACACATTTCCACGTGGCCTGTGAGTATAGTTTGGAAGACGTCGTCCAAAAATTCCTCGAGTTCGGCCAGGATCCTAATCTCATCGTGCAGAAAACGGGTAATTCCCCACTGTACTTAGCTCTACGCCACAACTACAACTACGGAATAGAAGTGTCGCGATTATTGTTAAAACACGGCGCGGATCCGAGTTTAGCCAACAAAGACGGAAAAACACCTTTGCACGTCGTTGGCATCAATTATTGGAATTCCTCGGATATGGAAATAATATTCGAGCTCAAGAAAAAATTGAAGCAAGGACAAGTTGATGCCCAAGACAAGTTGGGCAACACACCATTGCACTTGGCTGTGTCAACTCTTTATTCCAATGCAAAACACGTAGTCCGAGCATTGCTGGAGATAGGCGCCAACCCGAATGCAGCTAACAACGAGGGATTGACTCCTATGCATATTCTTTGCAAGAGCTACCCATGTTATTATAGCTTGAGGGACGTATTGTGCGAGGTCAGCAATGACATGAAGCAGCCGGTGCAGCTCGACGCCCGGGACAAGTTAGGTAATACACCATTGCACTTCGCTGCGCTCTCATGGTCCCTTGGCCAACATCTCAGATGGTTACTGAGAAACGGTGCTGATCCTAATGCAGTTAACAATGAGGGATTGACTCCTTTGCACATCATTGCCAAGACTGATTGCCGCTCCTGCGCCAAAATATTTTTCAAAACTAACAAAGAACTCAATCAGCTGGTGCAGGTCGACGCCCGGGACAAGTTGGGCCGGACACCTCTACAATTGGCCGTGGCAAATCTCTTGCCGGATATGGTCGATATACTCTTGAATAATGGCGCTGATCTGTCCAGCTTCGTTTTTCCCACCGAGGATTATTTCGCTGAGAAATTAGTACCATACAAAAGTGAAAGTAAGCTTAATTTTAAATTGAGAATTGCTTCTTGTGCAATGGCCGTCGTCGAGTGTCTCGAGAATAAAGGATACGAACTAGACCGAAGTAACGCCCTGACGATCATGAAAGTTTTCGCAGACTATGAATTGTTCGAGAAGTCGGCGAATTTCGAAAAATGTCGTTATGGCCGCGACGGCGGAAAATTGGTGAAAAAAGCGAGAAAACCGAAGAATATAAAGCTGCGGGCACAGGATCTGTCGCTCTACGACCTCATACGGTTACAACCCCAAGAGCTGGCAAAACTAATAACATTAAAGGATTTGAATAATTTTGCGTGCTACAGCAAATTTCGTAAGCTCCCTAAGAAGCTTAGCGAAGCTTGTGTTTTGCATCTTTGTGAGATGATATCGAGAATGTTTTTCCGGAGTTGGGCAACGGTATCTTTCTTGGACCTGACACGCTGCAAGTTTCCGGTTCTCTGCTGTGAAAAAATCATCGAGAATCTAAAGAACGAAGACTACCATCGTATTTGTTTGGCGGATGCTCTACAAAGCTCGTGATAGCAATTAGCATATTTGCAGTTATTTAATGTTGTATATGTTCAATCATCAATTATTCAAATAAATAAATTTAAAAAATTAGTTTCGATTTTTTTATTCATGAGCACAATATATTTCCAAATAAAAAATTTCAAATTATTGAACTAATTGATTGGAGCGCATCAAACTCAATCGTACAAACAGCCAAACACGTCGCGTATTTCCATCAAAACGATGACTCTCGCTTGAATGTTGAAGTCAAGTTCTGGCCTTTCCAATGCCGTTTTCAGATTTTAAAAATTTATAAGCATCGCTGAGATACAGCGTTTTTTGTACGATGCCTTTTTGTAGCTTGAAACGCTTTTTTTCATAGTCGAAACTTGACTTGAATGTTGAAGTCAATATTTCTTCAAGTATTTCAATTTTAAACTCAAAATTAACATGACCAATCGAAAAAAGAGGAAAATCTATCGATTTACGGGTTCAAATTATTTTTCCAGCATTTTTTTAGCGATTGTGAGCGAGTCGAAGAGACAAAGACTCGGCGCCGCGCGTGTGAACCGTTAACACACGGTAAAGAGGTCCGCGCCCGCCGACCCGCGCTCATTCATCTCCGTATCTTTAATATTTCTTATCATTTCTCCATCCTGGAGAACAACATTTTTGTTAGATTTTTGCCTCCTCTTTCGATTGGTGCAGTTTATTTTGAAATCGAAGAACATATATGTGAGTTAAATCAACTCAAACATTCAAGTCGAGCTTTAATCTCA